AAGTTTCAATATAAAATAATTACCAAACCAAATCAAACTAATTAAACGAGACCAATATATCCCACCTGAATGTGAATGTGTAAGGTACTAGTGTATGTGGGTAGGGGTCGGGGGTGAATGTAGACAAACCCGACCTCTTACCCAAATAGAATTGAGAGGACGATGACTTACAATAATATATTGTGACCAATTGAAAAGAACCCTATGTTACATTCAATAATATATTGTGACCAATTGAAAAGATGCCTATGTTACATTTGAACTCCGTCCACCACAGCCTTGTGGTTTAGTGTGTTTTGAAAAATTTACTTTATCGTAGATTAATTTCCTAATGGGCACTTTTCGTATACGCTTAGTTTTAATTTGCTTGACATTTATGATTTCTAGTCTCTGTGTATTTATTTTTCTACAAATTTCACATGGTTCTCTTTAGACTATTTTCAACTGTTGGTTTGGTGTAGTGTATTTTGATATGAATACGAGAACAAAGTAGCAAATTAACTTCAATAATTTCGATTCTTGTTAAGCAAGAAGCCGAAAGCTAGAAAGAAAAAAATAATCAAAAGCTAAATTGATCCCAAAGGTTAATTGTGAGTTTTAAGGCTAGCAATAACTCCTATTTATAACAAGGACAAGGCTTAGGAAGGAAGATAGATCAACTAGTACAAATGAGAAACTTGAACTATAAGCTAGCCCATAGCCCATGTCCAAAATCTGCAGTAAAAGGCGTAAGCCCAAAGTTCCAGCCCAAAAGTAAGGATGCGGCCCACTGCACACTTCAGTAGGACTGCTACAACACTACTCCAGTAGGACTGCTACAAGACTACTCCAGCAAAAGAATCATGTAGGAGTGCTAAAGGACCGGCCAAAAACTTCAATAATCTGCATAATTGACAAAATAACCCAAGATTATGATATAAAAGACTCAATTTAGACACTAATGGACAAATTAAACAAAGAAAATTGATTAATAAAATGATGTAATAGGTTTAATAAATTAACATCTATCAATGTGAAATCTCTTTAAATCTCTTTCTAAAATTGTTATGGATATATGTGCGTATATATGTGGGATGTGTGTATATGTATACCATATAGGCTAGATTTGGAGGATTATATAACACAAAAGTCATCTCTAATCCCCTATTAGAATTGCTAGGAATTTGAGGTTCTAGAAAACGCAATCCCGTAAAGAGGGAAAGGACCGAAAAATTTAGGTTAAATGTTGAAAATGTTTTATATATGATAACCAAACCAAACTAGTTAAACGGACCATGATATCCCACATGAATGTGGGGTACTAGGGTTTGTGGGTGGGGGTCGGGGGTGGGATATAGACATAACCAATCTCTTACCTTACCCAAATAGAATTAAGAGGATGATGACTTACCATAATATATTGAGACAAACTGGAAAAAAACACCTGTGTTATATTTGAACACCCTCTGACACGTCTTGCTATTTAGTGTGTTTTGAAGAATTTAGTTTATCATAGATTAATTTTCTTATTCCATACTCTCACCTCTTATAGCAATACACCACTTTTCAATTTGGAGGCTGGGCACATTTGCACACTTTCAATTGAATGATAATGCTAGACATTACCTAATGGGTACTTTTCGTTGCACTTCATTTAAGATGCTATGTAATTTCTGTATCCTATTGTTGAAGCTAGTTATTTGCATTACATACGCCTAGTTTGCAACGCATTAGCATTTGCATACAAATACATTTTATATCATATTGTTAAAGCAAGCTATTTCATCATATACGCCTAGTTTTCATTTGCAAGACATATACGACTCGTCTCTGTGAATTTATTCTTCTACAAATTTCACATGTTTCTTTAGTGTGTGCGGAGGGTAGAGGGTGGGTTGGGCAAGGGTGAAGAGTGTTTCGGCTAAAATTGCAGTATATTATCATTGGAATAGGGAGTCTCTTTCATGCTTTCTCTGGGGTTTTTGAGCTAGGTAGACTCTTGCATTTATATAAAAATATGTATCAAAGAACACAGTTTTAAAAATATGTGGCTTATAGGCATGCTCTCAAAATCTTGTACTTGACCTTTTTTGCAAGTCAAGAGTATTTTCCATAAACAACCTAAAGGTCTGCACATTATATATATCCTACCCCAAGATCCTACCTGTAGGTGGATATACTAAATTTATGTGGTTTTAACAAGATAGTAATTTTATCATAATACAAACGATAAGTGCATGTGTATGTATTTAAAGCCTTTGAATGTTTCTAAGTAAGAAACGTTCTTGGTTTTAATACTTCATTCCATTCATGGAGGATATGTCAACTATTGACATGTTTGGAAGAACTTACGATTTCATACATCCTTATTTTTCATCCTCTCTTAGCATCCTTAGCAAAATTGTGTGCCCTACTTTTCATTCTTGAGCGCACACTTGCATAGTTGCAGTTGAACTAATGCCTGACATTACGTAATGGGCACTCTTTTCTGGTCGCCAATCAAGATGTCAAGTCCTGTATGGATTTAACACCCGATCTAGTCATTGTAATTAGAT